GATCTGCTAAGGATCTGAATTCTGACTTGCAGATAGCTACCCTGTTACCAAGTAAGTGTCCACATGGCCTTTCCTTTGTATGAACTCAGCAACTTAGTGAGATAGAGAGAGATTACCATTGTCTTCTTGACCTTCTGAGCTTAACCTCCCAGAGGCCCCATCTTCTAACAGAAGTATTTTGTTAGAAGTTAAGGATTCAACATGAACTCGAGGAAGACATGGACTTTTGGGTCATAAAACTCACATTGTGAGTTCTGTGTTGTTTAATCTTCTTTCTTCCTTAACTAGTGAGTACTGGAAAGCAACAACATAAATTACATTTCAAAGAATCTAATACACTGCCAGATTGCTCTGTACTGGACCTATAGTGGAACACAGTTTACACTTTGCATAAGTCCTTTTTGACTGCAGGGGCAGAACCCTCATGTATTTCTGAATGGTCCAAATACTCAGATTTAAATAGTAATTCTGTTATTTTAGCTGTGGGGCTTTGGGCAGATCAACTATCTTTGGAGTTCTAGTATTCCCAAAGACTAGTAGATGAACATCTTCAGTGGGATGAAGAAGAGAACTGATGAGTATCAGGAGCCTGAACTGGGCATGGCTTAACTTGTGGATCTGTAAGAAACATATAGCCCTTTTCCTCCCAATATCTGCTTTTTATTTTTGCAGATGGAAATCAAACACGTTAATAACATAATCTAAATCAACACATTAACTAGTAGGGCAAACAACAATGGCATTTGAACCAATAATGTGGGAGGATCTATGTTTTGGGAAAAGGGAGACAGACTGAGATCTGAGGAATAGTTATTCTAGACATTGGACAGGGCAAGAACAAAGACTACAAGAGGAACAAGACTGGCACATTGGCAGGACTCTGCCCCTCCAAAGGGCAGTGTGTATAGTATGATGCAAGTAAAGAGGAGAACCTTAGGAGATAAAGAAGGGGCAAAGGCATAGCAATACAGTATGCTGCAGCAAAAGAATTGAAGAATTTTAGTGCAGAGTTCCTGTAAAATACAAAACACATTATGTGATGGATGGATGGATGGATAATAAGCTTCTGGGTAAGGTGAGTGCACTGAGAAGGAAGAGGCAAGTGTCAGGAAAAGCAGGAAGTTTTCTTGGGCACTTGCACCTGCCTGTGCATTGCACACATTCATGACGGCACATCACAACATTGCCCTTCAAACCATAGCCAGACCTGAATAAAAATTAATGAGATTAAAGGGAAAATATTCCATATGTTCAGCGTGGGCATGGTGGTGTTCAAATGTAACACTCAACTATTGCCTTCCCGTGTTTGTGAGGCAAAATTTACATGCTTGGCAATAAAAAAAAAAGTGCCCTTTTCTCTCATTCTCTCATTCTCTCATTCTCTCATTCTCTCTCTCTCTCTCTCTCTCTCTCTCTCTCTCTCTCTCTCTCTCTGTGTGTGTGTGTCTGTGTGTGTGTGTCTGTCTGTCTGTCTCTATTTCTGTCTATCTCTTTCTGTGTCTCTCTGTCTCTCTCTGTGTTTGTGTGTGTGTTGGAGAGGGAGTGTTTTGGGAACCATGGAGATAGAATATTCCACTCCAGCCGGCAGCTGTATATCTTTCAAAAAGTGCTTCCACAGGCCAAATCCCCCTCCAAATTATTTATGACTCCCATTGAAGCTAGCGGGACTCAGGCGCCAATCTAGGGGGTCAGCAATGGCCTTCTTTGTTGGACAGGGGTCACTGGGAGACGACTCTGGCTGTGACTGCTGTGTGAACCTCCGCTGCCGTAGAAATGGTTGTGTAACTTTAAACAGTAATGACATTTTGCAGAAAAGTGCTTTTTAATTGCTATGTCTTCATTATTCTCTTTTGAAATTTGCCCAGGAGATTCTGCCTCTGAGACAGCTCGGCATGTTCTGAGTTTCCATTTTTAAAGAGCAGCCAGTGTTCTGTTTCAGTTGCTCTGAGAAAACCCCCAACCCTAAATTTCATCTGTTTTCAGTTGCACTAAATGGGGTAGGTAATACTGCCTTTTGTATCCTTGCCAAACGGAGAAATGATTTGATGCAATTTTCTAAAAATGCTCTCCCCAAATTCCTTTTGGGTTAAGACCAAGAATAGAATATCCTATCCCCTACAAAAGGAAGAAATAAAGTGATGAGTTGTCTGAAAAAAATAAGACTGAGAATATAGTCAGTAGAGTTCCTTTAAGCAACAGAAATGTAACCCCAATCCATAGACACAGTTGCCTATAGGGATCAGCTAAAAATAAATTTTGCTTTGGAGGAGAAACGGTGACAGAAATGAAGTAACTCAATAATGCACACTCTAAAGAACTGCAAACTTGCTTTGGAAAGGACTTTATAGCTGGTTTGTGCTTCCCAGCCTTTGCTGTTTCCATCACCTTATTCTGTACAGAAGCCCTGTGCCCAATCACTTGCTCTCATGTGGATGCCTTGCTCAGGGACAAGGACTTTTTCTACTTTCACACAGACCACTGTCCAGCTTCATAGCTTTCCCAGAATGCCTTCTAAGTAATGTTGTGTATGCACACAAAACAGTCTTCTGGTTCAGTAGGCAGAAAGTCCAAACCACCTCCTTGTGAAAGCTGTGCAGACAATTAACGATTCCCTTTGGAATATACCGGCTGCTATTTTTCCTTTTACATGCTGAAGTTTTGATTGAAGCGTTAGGTATTTCATCAGAGGAAGGAGAACATCATCACCACTATAGTCTCCCTTAGCAGCCGTTTCTTCACATCCAAAACAGGAGCTGGGCTGACAAGATGGCTCAGTGGGTAAAGATGCTTGCTGTCAGGCCTGATGACCCAAGTTCAAACCCTGGGACCCACATGATGGAAAGAGAGAATCAATACTGCAAGTTATCCTTCAACCTCCACACATATATTGTGGCAGGAGATATATATATATATATATATATATATATATATATATATATATATATATATATATATACACAAAAATACACAAACTATGTAAATTAAGTAAGGAAGTAAGCATATAAGTAAAAATGGGAATTGATAATTCAGTGTGTGTGTGTGTGTGTGTGTGTATCCATGTGTATGTGCGTGCATGCATGCCAGGAAATGTTCCATACAATTTATAGACATCTTTACTTTATTCCTCTAGATATAATGTAGCTACTATCAGTATCTCCATTTGGAAATAAGAGAAAGTGCATCTTTAGAGAGAGGATGAATAAATTCCTTGAGATAATTTTGGCATGGAACTCAGTGACCAGCTCTTCATGTGGACTGTGGCTTCATGCTATAGAAATACTGAGATTCATCTACATCTCTTTCTTACAGGGCCCTCAGCAAATTCTACTGTGTAGTTTCCATATGAGGACCAAATGGTAGAATAGAAATCTATTGTATATATAACCATAATAATGGCATATATTACATATAATCTGAATGCATAAGACAAAAGTCTATAAACATAACTGAAAAATTGAAATTGAAAAAAAAGGTTTTAAAAAATGCTGCATTTATTCACCAAATCAAGAGTAAGCAGTACTGAAGTATAGCCATGAAGCATAAGTGATTAAGAAAAAAATATCTAAAAAAGAATATAGCCCCTTGTTTACAAAGTTAAAGGTAAAGTCATTACTTCTATATATGCTAGAGGCTACAATTATTAGCAGCCCAAGAAAAAGTGAAGGGAACTGTCCTGGACATTAATTGTTGGTCCAAACTTGCCCTTCTTTCTGGCTGTCATAGGCTGAAGCATCCACTTGGCTGATATTTCCAGGTTTCAGCATGCTGTGCTGGCCCAGATAAACCCTCTCCATTTTGCACTCTAAAGATTAAGATTCTGATTATTCAAATATAGAGAGACGATCATAAGATCTAGTCAAGGGTGCTCACCATGTACCCATGAATTAGCCACTTTGCCTTAGTGTTCCTTTGGCCTTCTTTATTAGAGCAAATAGGAGAAAGTTAGTATCTAGGATGTCTTTTTTTTTCCCACCAATCTTTTGGTTTTATAATACATACCCTATTTAATATTTCCCTTTAAATATATCATTCTCATCCTTGAGAAACTCCAAATGTGTATTCAATGAGCCACATGGTAAATATACAATCTATAGTCTGTAATAAATTATTTCCTACCTCTGGCCTCTGAAGCTCTCTCAGTCAGTTTTCCTAGTACACTATACCCCTATCCATCCCACTTTGCTTCATGCAGTGGAACCTTCCAGATGCACTTATTACATCTTTCCTCATTCTGCTATTTTTTAATAGTGGTTGTCTCTTATGTACTTTCCAACAACCCCAGATTCTTTCCCCTGTAGAAAGCTGTCCTTACTCCTGACTTTTCTGTGTCTGTTTCTGCTTTAGACCTGTAAGCCATGTTAGGAAGGTGTGTGTCCACATCTGCCTCTGCTGATATTGCAAATATGCTTTATTAAAAAGTCCTGCTGGCCATGGTCACATGCACTTTTAATCCCAGCACTTAGGAAGCAGAGGGAAGCCGATCTCTGTGAGTGTGAGTTCGAGGCCAATGTGGTCTACATAATGAGTAACAGGACAGCCATTCAAAAAAATAAAAACAAAATTAAATCCTTATACATTTACTGGCTAGCTCAGGACTCTTTATAACTAGAGTTCATAAATATTTCAAGAAAGGAAAAGAAAATAAATGAAGAACATAAAGAAAGATAAACAATAATGTTATGCATTCAAGAAGAGTTTTCTCCCCAAATAGAAATAGCATATATCAGAGCATCTCCGGTCTTACTACTAACATAACTGAGCAAGCAGTGGTTGCATTTTCCAGAGTACCCAGGTCATGGCCTGAGACGTTGAATCATAAGTGATAAAATTGAAGGTCCCACTGTCTGTGGCCCATCTATATCTAAGTAGGCTTTTGAAATATTTTGCTTCCAATGCACAGGGAGAGACCTTGTTGTGTTGCATTTTTGTCACCTTTGGAGGCTGTTAATAAAACACCTCTTTACTCTTTCTGATTCTCTCTTCTTGCTATTTTTAACTAGGTCTTCAGATAATCTTCCCACAGTATCTGCAAGAGAAGTTTGTTCAGTCGGCTTTGAGCTACATCATGTGCAATGGTGAAGGAGAGTACGTCTGTCAGAACAGCCAATGTCGCTGCCAGTGTGCCGAGGAGTTCCCACAGTGCAACTGTCCCATTACCGACATCCAGATCATGGAGTTCACGCTGGCTAACATGGCCAAAGCCTGGACTGAAGCTTACAAGGACCTGGAGAATTCAGGTACACAGACTACTAGCATGAATACCCCTGGCCAAGTTAAGACTTCTGTGGAGGGAAATAGAATAATGGCACTTGGTCCTATTGGAAGCTTCAGGATCAGGTATAGTAGTCCTCATAGATGAAACAAATGTTCAGTCTCCACAGAATGAAACAGTAGACATCATAAAACATTATGCTTATATGATATGTATATATCTCTGTTGGACTCAGATGACAAAGTAAGACTGAAAAGACACCTCTGCAGAGTAGAGAGTCAGAGGGCACTGTATTTATTCCTGAGTCTCTGTTTATGTATAAATATGTGTATGTACACAAGTATGTATAAGGATGAATTAATGAATGAGCACACATAAGTATATAAATATATATGTCTGTCTATATATGATATATATGCACATACATAACTACATGTGTATATATGTGTCTATAGTGAGATATAATCATGTAGATATTCAAAGATCATACAGACTACCAAAATTGAAAGTTACTTTTCTGATAATTTATCTATTTCTTGCATTTCTTAGTTCAGACTAATGAGTTACAGGGGAAGAAAGTCAGTTATCCAATGTCATGAGGGGGTAAGGTCTAAAGTTAGATCTTAGCATTCTTGGAACTTTGAATCTGTCAGAAATTAATTATATAACCATGTAAGAGTTGAAAATGATTATGGCATTTCAAGTGTCCACGAGTGAGGGTGGGGAGCAGCTGGCATGGTGATATAGAGATGGAGTCAGTGTGACCAGTAAAGTCATGTGTGGCTATGTTGAAAAAGAAAGATAGTTTAATGTCCTGTGCTTCAGAGAGGCAGTTCTCAGGTTACCTAGAAGTGATAATCCCAAGTAGATTAGAGAGCAGAAGCAGAAATGCACAGAAAGGCTGACCTTAGGAGGGGAATTGACAGAACTAGATTCTAGTTGTCTCAGAGAGTTGAATAAAAAAGGGATTGAAGTGATGTCCAGGACCTTTGCTTAGAGACACATATTAAATAACTTCATGGTTGTTAGTGTTCTTCAGCTGAACTAGAACACCCAAAAAATTGTTGAAATCAAGAAAATATAGTCAGTTTTAGACAGAATAAGTTTAAGAATCGTTAAGAATTCCAAGAAGTGCTGGGCAGTGGTGGTGCACACCTTTAATCTCAGCACTCAGGAGGCAGAGCCAGGCAGATCTCTCTGAGTTCAAGGCCAGCCTGGTCTACAGAGTGAGATCTAGGACAGAAACCAAAACAACACAGAGAAACCCTGTCTCAAAAAAAAAGAAGGAAATAAATAAAAGGAAAGGAAATGAAAATAAAAAAGAATTCCAAGAAGTGTCAGAAAGATATAGTAAGCTTATAATACATACTTTAACATCTGTTAAATGAATAAACTCATCAGTGGAGCAGCACAATTTTAAAACATCTTTATAAATGTTTTCTCTGTTACAACTACACGAGACCAAGTGTGATGTGCCTTTCTAGGTAGCAGGAAGGACACCAAGTCTCAGAAGCTTCCTTGAGGTTACATACTTTGTAAATGACAGCATTGGTAATGGAGTCCCTGACTCCAAACCCAGTGTTCACAGCAGTCTTTTCAACTTATTAATTCTAGTCAACCTTGTAGGCCTGAGCTCCCTCATCTGATAAATGAGAGGTCATGTTTGCATTTTTAATATCTGAATTTATTTAAGTCTTTAGCCACAAAACACTTTGATCAAACAAAATCTTACCTCAGAGCCACTGTGTATCACAAACAAAAGCAGAGTTCTACAAAGCATCATTTAAAATGTCTGGTTGCCATGAACTTGAAGTCTACCACGTTGCCAGTGTCAGAGATGCTGCTTTTTCAGGGTTATGCAGCTTGTAGGGAACTACTTTGCATGCCTTATGAAATTTATCCATTAGTCTGTTTCAAATTCGGTGATCTTTAAAGCAGAGAGATCATGACAGAAGGGTATTACAGTGATTCTTGGCCCCAAACAAACAAAATGCATTTGACAGACTGCTTTTGCAGAGAAATGCTGCTAATTTCTAAAATTCCAAAAGAAATAAAGACTGTCTGCATCAGTAGTAAGGAGCCCTGTGAAGCTACTGTGAGTGGGTGAGTAATGGGGAAAAAAGTGAGAGTTGCAGAAACATGATAAATAGCTTGTCTTGCTCTTTTTCTTTATCAAGTATACATACCCATAGGTCTCCTACATATACCCCTCTGAAATAGCTTCTCAGTTTAATATAAATTCAACTGCTTTTTTTATTTATTTGTTCTAGCACTTATTCCTAATAACTCTGCCCCAGGAGGAGGAAATAATGGTTGTGGCTTCTTTGATGGCTTCACAATTTCCAAATTTGAATTAGATACTATTATGCCAATTTGACAGATGTGTAAACTGAGGTCTTGAGTGAATGAAGGTCCTGAAACTCTTCAATGGTCAATATGAGATCTGAATTCTTGTATATTGGAATATCTGTCATATAGTTTCTAAAGGTCTGGTTCAGAATTTTTGTCTTTAGAAAGTCCCCCCCTTCCCCCCCGCCCAGTATGCTAAGCCTCAAGGTCACCTTCCTTGTGTTGAGAAGAAGCATAATATGTTGAATGAAAGAATATATTCTGGAACAAGGCTGCAGTTTTAATTGAACTGGTTACTGGCCATTGACCCTGTGCAAGTTAGCTACCTGCTTTGTGTCCAGCCTCTGTAGAGTGGGAGTGCTACAGATAATATACCTCATAGGTTTGCTGTAAAGATCCTTCATGAGTTCTAAGTGCTTAGGACTGGATTTGGTATTTTTTGAAAGCTGCAACTACTCCTTATATAAATAAAGTGAATGTATGGACAGGAGTGAAATTCCCTTGCATTTTTTTGTAGCATGAAATAAAATTCTTAAGCGGCAACAATGATTTTTAAGCCTTTACTTGCAAAATGATCCATACTATGCTTCACTTCCCCCCAGTTGAGAAAAACACGGGGAAAGGATAATGTGGCTGAGAAAGTGTCCAAGTAGATAAGAGCAATTCAGATTTTATACTTGGCTCTTGAGGCTCTCTGTCTGTGTTATCTTTAAAAAAAAAAATCACCGTGTCATTCTGGACTTTAGTTTCCTTAACGTATATGTGGAACAAGAAAGATGAGCTAGGTGATTTCTAAGCCTGTGTCAAACCGTAGTCTGAGATGATGCTCAGAAGCTCAAATATTAGGAACTAGGGCACAAACTTTTACCAAGGGGACCCCTTAACATCTCTTAAATTATAGTTTCCCAGCACTGGAGATAATGTCACATGGTTTACACCCAGGACTTCAAATAACAGTTGGATCAGGAGTACAGAGTTTCACTTCCTTCAGCTCTCCAGCCAGCCTACGGTTACATCAAAGAGAAAGATTCAGTTGGGTGCTAATATGTTTTTAACACCATTCTAGATCTACTATTTCAAATGGAAAGAAGGCTTGTGGACTTGATCACTTAGCAGGCAACAATATCTGACTAGGATTTATTAACATTGTTTTTCTCACATTTATTTTCACAGTTACAATTCTACCAAAAGCATGTAATACTGATTTTCTATGTAGATCGGATAAAAGCTTTTCAATTTTTACTTGAGGATAATAATTTGATTCAAAGGCACTGTTAAGAGTAAATAGGAAGAGGATGTATTGTAACCTGGCATCCCAATGCTGGAAGTTTGGGAAGACATATCTTAAATATAGATGCCTCATACAGGTAGCCTCCAGTGGAGATACAATGTTAGTAGCACAGCAGACTATGGAGTGTTATACTGGCCTCAGACAAATTGTGTGATCTTTCATTGGCAGATGAAGCTAAGTGTCAGGAGGGGAATTCAGGAATGACCAAAAACCAATTTGTGTGCTTTTTCCTGGGGAAGACTATTTCTCCTGCTCTCAGCATTCCTTAGTTGCCTGTCATTCTTTATGTGGGGTTGAGGCTTAATGGTCTTCCCCCTGTCCACATATCTGGTGTGTCCTTGTTCAACTCACATTTATTCTATCATATGGGTGTGACTTCTGCCAGTTCTAGGAGGCACACTATCATAGTAAATGCCCTGATCTTCTGGCTCTATCTTTCTAGCCCGTGTTCCTAAATGGGTGTGGGAGTAGTTGGGTAGAAGTAACCACTGAGACTGGGTTCCACAACTCTGTATTCTGATTGATTGTGATAGTCTGTGGTGGTCTGTCGCAAAGACCAGTTTCCTTAATGAGGGGTAAGGACTACACTTATATCTGAAGATTTAGAGGTAGGAGCCTCTGATGAAATAGAACATGTGACTTTTGACTTCACTCAATATATTTTCTAGTTCCCTCCATTTACCTGAAAATTCATGATTTTTATTTTCTTTATGCAGAATAAATAGTATTCCATGGTGTATATGTACCACATTTTCATTGTCCCTTTGTTGGCTGAAGGACATTTATGTTGTTTCCATTTCCAAGGTGTTATAAAGAGAGCAGGGGAAAGAAGTAAGAGAACTAAAATGTAAAGAAGGACTTCAGATATTGGCTGTCAAGCTCACCCCTTCTCTCCTGACTTTTGTCTCTTGTCAGATGAGTTTAAGTCATTTATGAAGCGTCTCCCAAGCAACCACTTCCTGACCATTGGTAGCATCCACCAGCACTGGGGTAATGACTGGGATCTGCAGAGCCGTTACAAGCTCCTGCAGAGTGCCACTGAGGCTCAGAGGCAGAAGATCCAGCGCACTGCCCGCAAGCTCTTTGGTCTCAGCGTGCGCTGTCGCCACAATCCCAACCACCAGCTGCCTAGAGAGAGGTATGAGCTCCTACTACTCCATCTCTACAATGCTCTCCACCCCCATTTCTGAGTGTCAGTTTGCACACTCTCTGACAGTAGAAGGATATGTGCTGCAGGTAGCATATTTGGGACTCTAAGCAAAGTAGTCCATGATATTGACCAACAATGTTCCTGACTGCATTTGGTTCTTGCAACATTGAATTTCACATGCTTCCTATATACACCATTGAACTTCTGTATCTATGGGTTCTTCACCTACAGTTTAACTAATAATCAGATTGAAATTATCAAACAAAAGTTGGGTGTCTACTACAAATGCTTAGATTTATTTTTTAGTCATTTTCTCCAAACCATATAATACAATGAGTTTCATTACATGAAGAATTATAAGTACCCTGGAGATGATCTAAAATACAGAGGAAGATGTGCATGGGTTGCATGTAAATGCTACCTTCACTTTATTAAAGGATTTTGCACATCCATTGATTTGGGCATCTCTGTGAAAAGTCTGGAAATCAGTTTCCCAATAATAAGAAAGAAAATTGGGCCATGAAGTTCAGATCTGCATTGTTTGTGCTATTTCTGTCCTGTCTGACTAAGGGATACCTCCAACACTGGTCCCAGCAACTATATGGTACCATTTTGGTTACTTAAAATGCAATATCTGTACAATTTACAAGTACTTGGTTATGAAGATTTTCACCTGTTCTTAATGGTAAAGAAAATGGGCTAACTAATTTATCAGTCAATTTATGTAATCGAGGGCATTTGATCAGGGTCTAGAGTGGAATAGAACAAATGTAGCACCAAGTGGTGGAAGTTTTAAAGATCAGCCCAGCCACCCGAGTATATGATTCTATCCAGAGGTCCAGTGCCTCATTAAGGTCAGAGTTGCTTCCTTTGCCCAGTCTGGTTCTAACCTTGCCCTGTCTCTAATTTCCTCTGCTAGGCAGTGGTAAATGCAGGAATAGACAGACAGGATTTGCCCTTTCATAGAATTCTCACTTCTTCTTAGGGACATACCATGAGAAAACAGGATTCCTTCTTGGTTGGCCAAATTCCATTCTGCCAGGAAATTCATGATCTATCTGCAGTTGAGAAGTTTCTATCACAGTGTCTCCAGGGTTTCTATGAGGCTGTCAAAGGAGGGCGAGAAAGCAAGTTGGGAACATAGAGTTGAACTCAGGTGTGGAGCGTGAATCAGGCTCATTACCCTAATGCAGGCAGAACAGTTCTGTTTCCATTCATTTCTTATTGGGGGTAGGTCTTGCCTTTTATTTCATTCAGAGAAAAGAGATCCACTTAAAAAAAAAAACCTAAGACAAGTTTGGGGATAGGGAGATAGCTTAGTGTTTAAGGGTACGTTTTGCCCAGTGTTATTCAGTATTCGTACCCACTGAGCAAGCCAGTATCTGGCACACATATGTATCCTTAACTCTAATCAGGGTGGAGACAAGAATATTGAGACCTGCTGACCTCTGTCCTAGCTGAGAAAACACTAGCCTCCGGTCTCTCAAAGAGACAGAAAAAGAAGGGGATCCACTTTTGGCCTTTGCATGTATACACAAGTATGTATACCTCCAGGTGGTATACAGTAACACACACACACACACACACACACACACACACACACACACACACACACGAATACATCTTGAAAAATCAAGTCGGATTTATATAGCATGATCTGTGTTGGCCACATAACTTGTGTGTGTGTGTGTGTGTGTGTGTGTGTGTACAGATTCATATTCCTATTGTACAGTCCAGAAAACTGAAGTTCAGAGAGGTGAAGTCACTAGTCCAAAGCTACAGCTATAAATAACTGGTTCTCAAATGGGGTTGATTTTTTTGTCCTTGAGGAATATGTGGACATATACAAGGACATTTTTAATTGCCACGTGGAATGATGTTATATAGGACAGTCTCTAAACAAAATAATTATCTAGGTCCAAAAGTCACTGAGAATGAGATATAGCCAATCTGTTGTAAAACAAGTCAAAATGGCATTTAAATCTGTATTGGTCCTCTGCAGTGTCTGTTGTGCTAACACACAAGACAGGAAACAAAAAGCATTATATTCTTCTAGACGGTTCAAGCTACTTTTCCTAAATTGAAACTTTCTAATCACATTTTTCTACACTTATATCTAATGTTGCTTCCTCTGTGAAGTCTTTTGTGATTGCATACAAAAATGTTCCTCATTCTAAGGTCCCCTTTATCTAAAACCACTTTTTTAATGCACTTCTCTTTCTCCCCCATTATGACATGTATTCTTACATACCAGTGTGTGGTCATTTTTGTTTTTCCCAGACCCTCCAATTCTGAAGTCCATTCCATTGTTCCTAGTTTGTAATAACCACTTTGAGAGTGAAATCGATTCTTTTTTTTCCTGTCAGTTGCTGATGTGTTGCTGTACTGCTGAATCACAGACTTGGAAAAGGGTCTGTTCACAAATTGACTTCCCTGTTGCATGCAGCAGATGCCCAAGTGGCCACCAGAAGGGAGTCTCTGAAGTAGAATCATTTAGATTTATCAGGACTGTGCCAGGTGACCAGCCTCGGGCACTGTTTGGGGTTCACAAATGACTGCAGTCCACCACAGTGCTATGAAAAACAGTTCTTACAGCAGGACTGGGGAAAAGTTCAGTTGGGAATCGGAAAATAAAATTTACCACAGGTAGCTATTAGTTTGTAAAGGTTACTGCAGTTAAGTCCTATAGATTGGGTGACTTAAACAGTAGACACTTATCTTTTTATAATTTTAGTATCTAGAAGCTGCAACACAGGCTTTGGCAGGGCTGTTCCTTCTGATTAACTCTGTGGCTTGTCTCCTCCCTGTGCCCTCACACGATCTTTCACCCAGGTACATCTATGTCCTCATCTCTTCTGCTTTAGGATCACAGACATGTTGAATTAGCATCCATCCCTAATTAACTAATTTTAAACTAAAAATTGCCTCTGATGACAGTGATGTTCTTCAGTGCTGGGAAATCGAGACTTTTACATATGCATTTGTCAGGGAGGTTAGATAACCCAGCCCATAATATTCTAAAGCAATGGTTCTCAACCTTCTTAATGAAGCGACTCTTTAATACGGTTCCTCATGTTTTGGTGACACCCAACCATAAAATTATTTTGTTGCTACTTCATAACTGCAATTTTGCTACTGTTAAGAATCATAATATAAGGATATCTGATATGTGACCCCCAAAGGAGTCGAGACTCACAGGTTGAAAACCACTGCTCTCAAGGAAAAATGACTTGTGTCACATCTTTCGACCAAGAAACTGTGTGCCCTAAGACTGCCCAAACAGATGTAAATCTGAGCAAAGAGGTCAACATTTAGCCATTACAAGACTGCACATACATCTGTCAAATTTGTTGAGTGTCACTGAAGAAATTCCAAGTCCAAAGACCCTGGAGCAGCACATTAATTAAATGTGGAAAGAAATCTTCAGGGCATAGACCATCATTGGCACACTGGGTCTGGGGAAGAAACAAAGGGAAAGTGCCAGATGTGCATTAGAAGGGTTGGGGAACAGATGTGCATTAGAAGGATAAGGGAAGTAGGCACTGGGCTGTCAAGGAGCCTGAACTTGAATGATGAATTTCACTATGTATTAGTATGTATTAGTGAGGCTGTGGGATCTAGGACAAGTCACTTCCTCATTTTGAGCTCAGGTTTCCACAGCTGTGCCTTGAACTTTTTTTCTGCTTGTGGAAGTTGCCAAGTATGGATACCTAGAAATACCATACTGCTACTGGGACCTTTAAAGACAGCTCTGGGTGTTGGCCTGTCCTCCTGAAAAAAAGAAAATTTACCTTATTCCCGACATTCCTCCCACTCTCTCTAGGAGAGTGGCTGGAATCTACAATTGGCAAGTCACTTAGCTATATTCCTATATGGAGGCATGAATGCTGATACTGCCGAGAGTGGGAACATACAAAATGAGGCTCTGAAGCCTTCCCAGGGGAGCTGAACTTCCTTGGCCTGGCTGTGGGCTGCTTCCTGACATCTGAATCAGAGGCTTTAATGAGCATTTCTCAGAGTAGCAGGGCACCTCTCTGCCAAAGAGAAGTGTCAGACAGAGGTGAGAGCACTGAGAACCTTGAGCCACCTCTAGCTGAGAGAGTTTATGTTTGCAAATGAACTGATTGCTCAGCTTCAATTTGTCTGCTTGTTGAACTCCATAGGAGTTGAGTGCTCTGAGCAGGTGCTGTTATTGCAACAGGTGCCACTGAGATTTTTACTTGTCTCGCAGAGGTGTGGCATTGAGGCAGAATGGGGGAGGGAAAGAGCATAGAGCATTTGCTGTGCACAGATAGGTCAGAGTCAGGTCTGTCTGTCATCTCCCAGCCATCAAGCTTTATGTAAGTACCTGTCCCTCATTTGTGGCACTGGATAATGGCAATTGCCTTTAGGTTAAGAATGAGAATGAAGATTTTTAAAATTTAAAGACCTAGTAAAATACTTGACTGTAGTCAAATGGGGATGAGAATTCATTTAATATGTAAGTTCTATGTGCCTGGCATTCTCTTTTCTTACATGAATTAACTCCTTTTCTCATCACAGTTTCATGAAATAGGTACTGTTAGTATTCTCCTCTTACAGATAAAGCCACCGAGGCATAGGAGGTTTAGGAATGTGCCAAATGATTGCCCATCATTATTGATATTTCAAATGAGTCATTTACTTTTTGTGAGAGGTCAACTGTGGATATTTAGAACTTGAAAGTTTGTTTGCAGGCTATTAGGCAGAAGAGATGTTTTGGTTATCATTTTATGCAAAATAACCTACCGCAAAGCTTAATGTCTTAAAACAGTGCGTTGTCATCACTCATGATTGTGTAGGTCGACTTGGTACAGTTGGAGGGCTCTCATGTTGGCTGAAGCCAGTGTCCTTGGGTAACTTCCATCTGTGGACCTCCAAAGTAGCTATCTCCCAGAGCTGGCAGTTGAAGCTCACTGTCAGCTGGAGGCTCAGCTGGGGCTGTCAACTAGAGTGCTTACCCATGTCCT